CTCCCTCCCTCTCTCTCTCTCTTCCTCTCTCTCTCTCTCTCTCACTCCCTCCCTCCCTCTCTCAGTCCCCCTTTCTGTTTCTACTGGGTCAAGTGCATTTCTGCTTTGATTAAACAAATGCACAATTAATTACAGCAAATGAACAAGAAGAAAATAGTCGCTGACCAGATCCCCTGCCTCGGGTCTAACGTGAGATGTTCTGTGTTGAATTAGGTAGAAACAGCCACGGATTCCGACACGGAGAGCAGAGGCCTGCGGGAGTACCACTCTGTTGGTGTGCAAGTAGAAGACGAGAAGCGGTAACTCCCCCCTCAGGGTGGCTGTGCCCCCTCCCCTAGCCGCTTGCTAAACACGGGGCTGCACGATTCCAGATCAACCCCACACTGGCCGTCAGTCATTCCTTCTGCCTGCAGAGACAGGCCATTCATTTATACCCTGCCTGTTTATGTCGCTCAAGTCTGAATGAACATGGGTCGTGTCTTTTTTTTTTTTAAGAGGGAAGGGAATAATTCTTTTCAAAGTAATTCACCAGCTATTAAAATAGCATCACAGCTCTGAGCCCTGGGAGGTCAAAGTCCTTTATCCAGAATCCATCTTCAAAAGGAGACTAGGCTGAAGGGAGGGCAGACGTGCTTCTCACCTCACTTTGCTGGAAATAAGGGGGAAAGAGGAGAAGCGCGGGCAGGCAGAAGGGGGGAGGAGGCAGAGAGCAAACAAGATGTCAGCTATGTCCTGAAATTGTCTCACTTTAAGAGTTTTACCTAAAAGGATAGAACACAAATGTGTATCTGTGACATTATTTTTATATGTATATGTGCGTGGTTTTTCAAGACAGGGTTTCTCTGTGTAGCCCAGGCTGTCCTAGAACTCACTCTGTAGACCACACTGGCCTCAAACTCACAGAGATCCACCTGCCTCTGCCTCCCAGGTGCTGGGATTAAAGGCGTGCGCTGCCACGCCCAGCTAGATGATGTCATTTTGAAGCAGTGAAGGAAAATTGTTTCCCTTGTAGTAAAGAACATACTTGCCAGCTACACAGCACCAAAAAGCACCAGGCTCTACCCTGAAAGTTGCAGGCGCCCTCTCCTAAGGACGGTGCTGGGGGCAGTCTTCCCGGAACGGTCTCAGGACCAAACAGGAAAGATCTGGACTGCAACGAAATTCAGATTATAACCTAAAGATGTACAGAGGGCACTGCTTTATATATAAGCCACAGTTTATAAACACAGCATGTCTCTAGGTTAGTGGTTCTCCAGCTTGGGTCTCGACCCCTTTGGGGTCCCTTATCAGGTCTCCTGAATAGCAGATATTTACATTGTGATTCATAACAATAACAAAATTACAGTTATGAAGTAACAAAGAAAAATATTTTATTGTGGGGGAGTCACCACAACATGAGGAACTGTATTAAAGGGTCACAGCAATAGGAAGGTTGAGAACCACTGAGCTACGCAGAAGGTGGCCTCGGTACGCTTGAATGGCAGATGGGTGGTACCTAGAATTTGAGTTCAGTAGATGTGGAAGTCCATTCAGTTGTCACACCCTGTGTTCCTCACAGTGACACTGGAGCACCACAAGATGAACTTGCCAGTGGGTGTAGCTAAGGCCCGGGAGTGTCCCGCGAAGGGTGTGGGAATGAGGCAGCATCTCTTCTCTCTCCTTCCCTCCTTTTCCAGGCACGGTCGTTTCAAGCGCTCAAACAGCGTCACGGCGGCTGTCCAGGCTGACCTAGAACTGGAGGGCTTCCCTGGTCACATCACCATGGAGGACAAGGGCCTGCAGTTCGGATCCTCCTTCCAGCGACATTCTGAGCCCAGCACCCCGACCCAGTACGGGGCGCTGAGGACTGTGCGGACGCAGGGCCTCTTCAGTTACAGGGAGGACTACAGGACACAGGTGGACACTGCCACCCTGCCCCCACCCGACCCCTGGCTGGAGCCATCACTGGACACCGTGGAGACAGGGAGGATGTCTCCCTGTCGAAGGGACGGCTCATGGTTCCTGAAACTGCTGCACACAGAGACGAAGAGGATGGAAGGCTGGTGTAAAGAGATGGAGAGAGAAGCTGAGGAGAACGACCTCTCGGAAGAAAGTAAGAGTTTGCCTTTCCCCACAGTGTGTCAGACTGGTAACCTCTCGGGGAGGCAAAAGGATGAATGTCGGTATTGGTAGGGAAATGTCCCTTCCACATTTGAGCACAGGAAAGCCAAATGTTCGCTGCTGACCTCTGCTCCATCCTGAGAAGCAACATAAAACATGGAAAGACAAGCAGCTCTCGCTTCCGTGGGGCGCGCTTGCCTTTTGGTTTAGCTTCATTCTGTAGGTTGAGTATGAGCTCCCACTAACCCTTCCCCAAAGGTGGGCTAAACGGCTCTTTTCGCTAATCAGTTCCCTGATCGCTGAATTTGGAGCATTCTTATTATTGTCCCGTTTTTATAATCCCTGACATGACATTAGAGGAACACCAAAGCAAAGCAAGAATTACCCACTATAGGTACAATAGGACTCTCCTAACCACAGGACCCACGACTGAGCATGCTCAGTGGACACCTGTCCAAACACTCAGGTTCTTAGGTCCCCGCTACCCACATAGTGAGTAAAAGATCCCCTCTCTACCTCCCTCTCTTTCACTTGAAGAAATTTGCCACCAAGAAGTGGAATCAAGTGGTTCACATGTGTGAATGTGGCTTCCAGAAGCTGGGGTGAGGGTGGGGATGGGGGAGCGGAAGAGGACAAGGAAAGAGAGGGAGGGAGGAGAGAGAAAAGGAGGGGAGGATGGAAAGGAGTGAGACAGGGAGGAGGGAGGCATGGGAGGAGGGGGGAAAAGGGGAGAGCACAGAAGTGAGGGGAAGAGGGGAGAGAAGGGAAAGAGGGAGGAACAGATTGAGTAGGATTCAGAAATCATAGTTTTATCTATATTTTATCCTGACATTGTTATGAGGCAGTTCTATTAATAAACCCACCAATTCTTAAATTAGTAAGCACATTGATCAAGGAAAATGGATTCAGCTAATTTAGTCAAATTAAGAAGAGAGAACTACCAGCTTTTCTCAGCTTTTTCTGTAGCAATGTCACGTTTATAGGAAAGATTAAACAAAAATGAGAAGACGTAAGCATGTCTGTAACCTGTCAGAACAGGTCCTCCTCTGGCCGGCTCTTCAGCCTTTCCCTTCCACCAACGCGGGAGGCCTGGGAATTGTTTTTTTTTTCAATTCTTTGGAGTCCATTAATCTGACAACTAAAAAGAGGGGCATAAATGTCTCTAGAACATGTCACCTGTGACCTCGTGGCACAACAGTAGTGCGTCTGACTCCAGAACCTCTCACCCGCCGGGACGATTACACTGTTTGTGCTCACGCCGTCCTTGTGCATCCTAGAGGTTCCAATCTGCTTTTGAATATGCAAATGTGGATGCAGTGGTTGCTCTGTGTGTATGATAATGGGCGTCACCTTATTTTCTTCTCCGGGCTTAGTCTACACTGTACTTTCCCAAGGGTTAGACACTCTTTAAAGGCAATGTTTATTGACCATGCACTGTCTGCCGAGGTCTATGCTAAGCATGTCACATGTGTGCCTTGGTGCTCACTATTATAAAATGGAAGGTGACATTGCCAAGCATGGGCGGTACCGGGGGTTCCTATCCCCATTGCTCAGCCCCACGCTGAGTGTCTGCCTCGCACGTTCACAGTTCTGTGCGTGACTGCTCTGTTTCTGGGGATATCCTCACTCTGTCCGTTTTCTTCTGCTTTCCTAGAAAATATGTGTCGCCCCCCCCCCCGCCCCGACACAGTCTGTCTTTCCACTCCCAGCTGCTGTCGATCCCGTTTGTGGTCCAGGGAGAATTCCGAGGCTGACAGGTTATTGGGGCAGGGCTGTGGGAATACAGAGGTGGAAGATGGTCACAGGTTGTAATTTTCTTTTCTCTGGGGGAATCCCAGAAAACTGTGAAATTCCTGTTGAGCCACAAAAGCGCTTGTACGTAGCTGCAGTGGCCACACGATCCAGCGTCACAGCTGCGCGGTGTGTGGGATGTGTGCCTGGCAGCCATTGGCTCTGGGAAGGCCTCTCTAGGCCAACTAGAGATCAGAGTAAATGCCCCCGCCTCCTGGCTGTAGTCTCTTAAATGTGCTATCTAGCATTTAGGGGATTGTGAGTGTTATCATCTGTTCTCTGTTAGCGATGTTTATGGTCAGCGGGTGTTCATTGAGTGCTTGCTTGGCTAGCCGCTCTCGGTAGGGCAAAATCATATAAGAATGAGTAGGTTTTGGCAGAGAAGGGAAGGGTGAGAGGGGAAGGACCAGGAGAAGCCATAGACTGGAAAAACAGGACACGAGGATAATGAGAGAGGTGTAGCTAAAATTCTTCACAAACTCTGATCCAAGAGGCGCTCTCCATGCAGAAACTTCCCCAGTGCCTGTGTGGACAGTGCGGACTAGCGCGATACTCTGATGGTCCAGAAAGCAGATGCGGTCACACACAAGAGACACAGAGCGTAGAAGCACTGCCCTTCACACCTGCCTGGTGTGTATCATTTTGTACCCTGACGAGATCCATGTTTCTCAAGGGTTGCCTTGGCACTGGTCCTGGAGACTTCTGGGTCTCTGAATGCTGAGATCACAGTTGTTGTGTTTTACGCCTCCGTGGCACCTTCACACGAAGACTTCCGCAAACCAGGATTGGGAAGAAAGAGGTGGGGAGGAGGGCAAGCTTATCGAACAGCAGCATTCACGGTCCTCCCCCATCTCCTATAAGCAATTCCAGAATGGCAGGACACTGGTCTGTGCCCTCAGGTGTGGGCTGGGAGCATCGCATGGCCCTAATCCTGAAACAGCTGCTGAATGTTTGACTTAATGTTTTTGTTTCTCCACTGAGCTTGACTTCCACACTGTAAGCCTTGAGCACAGGGGACAGGGAGTAGAGGCTCTGGTGTCCCTAAATTCTAAACTCCTGGACACTCATAAGCAGGGATGGCATGGCTCTCACTGCGTCTCCCCCTGTGTGAGTAGCGCGTGCAGCTCTCCCGGGATCAGCCGCGTTCATGCCTCCCTGATAATGTTTAAAAGTAAGATAACCTCCAAGTCTAGTTCCCATTTTAGCAACAGTCATCAGTCTCCGCCCTTTTAAAATTAAGATTAAATTAAATGGCTTATTAAAGCCAAAACTCTGAGCTCTGAGTATTGAAATTTCCATTACATGAAATAATTTTTGCCCAAACTATAATTTTGTAATCACAGTTCACTGAACTGAATGAATGGATCTGGTTTTACTCAGTGCCATGTGGCTAATAAAGGCTAGCCTGAGCCAAATGCAAACTGGTTCAGGTTGAGTCCTATTGTGCAGGCCTCATAGTTACAGCTCAAAACTGGAAATATTTAGGAGATGCCGAAGACAGCTGTAAACCTCGAGTGTGGGGGTTTTCATCTGAATTAAAACAAACAGGTAAAACCAAAACTTACTACGTCTTTTGAAACAAAGAAAAATGTCCCAAGTACCTTGTTCAGTGACTGCACGGAGCGGGGTCTCTCAACACCCATCCAGGAGTCATGCCAGTGATGGGTGTTGGGGTTCCTTGTCTAAATAACCCCCAACATCTGCTCACTTGAGCATTCCCCAGTTGGATGCCAGGAGCGCCAGGCAATCAGGGAGCCCCTTTAGAGGTCAGTCATCCCAGGTCCCCCCTCACAGTCAAGACAAATAAGTGTCACAAGTCACATAATCCCAGTGTGGGACAGGTGCCTGCCACGGGGTTTCCCAGGCCGTTTTCCACGAGGGGTACAAATGTGTGTGGATGGGCTTATTCATGTAAGACCGAACAGTGTCAGGGAAGATGACAAACAGCACGGGTAAGGAGCACAACGCGGAAGAGAAACTGTCCCTGCCTCTGCTTGGCCAGGACATCTGAAGCAGCTGGAAGAGAGTGGGAGCAATGCTGACCTCTGTGCAAACCAGATTCCGGGGTACAGGCGGCAGCACTAAGTGTAGGGAGGATGCGTGCGCATTATCGGCCTGTCCCTTTGTAAGCCGAGGGGATACCCACTGATTACAGACTTCTCGGGGGAGCCAGAGAGTACGTCCAGTTTGGGGGCCAGGCTGGCAATGTTATCAGCTGGCCAGAATCTAACTAAGGGTGTGGGGAGATCCTGTGGGGAGCCAGACACCCAAGTTATATGCTCATGACCTGAAAGAGACAAGGCCTGGGTCCTGAAGGGACATTTTTGGGAGCAGTGCCCACCTCCTGCACTGCAGGGAATCCCAAGAGAGGCTGCCAACACCAGACAGTCCTTTCAAATTCTGCAGATTCTCTAAAGTCCACTCCGAATTTCAAAATATGGTGCTGGCATTTCCTAGCAAATTTTCATAGAATTAGAAATTAAACGAGACATGTGGAAAATAAATTCCAAGAGCCAATCTAGCTAATCAAATTTCTTGTGTGCACCAAAGGCCTGGGTACCATCAGGTTCTCTGAGAATTTGCATGCCGATGAGTGCCGCCTCTTATCTGCCACTCTTAAGAGGACACTGTTGAACCTCTGACAAAATTCAGCAAGCAGAGTGGTAAAGAATAAATTGAATTTTCACTTCAAATTCCCTGCAATTACAGGAAGCTATTTACAGTATAGGCCTCAGATAGGATCGCTCCCATTCACGAAGAGGCCAAGTTCACCTGCCATTAGCAGCCGCTCATTAGCCAGGATCCACCATGGTTTATCTCGCCGGCGGTGCTTAGTGCGTACCTGCGACAAGAACGGCTCCACCTTACTCCACGCCAAGAGGTGCCGTATATTCACACTGTGCTAAAGATTATGAATTGCAGTCTTATATGGATACCTCCACAGAATTCCGTTTTCAGGGGAACACAAAGATTAAGCATTTAAGCTTCAAATTTGGTAGAAAGAATCAGCTTTTGTTACAATTTAAAGAAATGGACTTAGTAAAGCAAATACATCCATCCGTGGCTTCTCTGATTTTATGGCACACATTTGATGAGAATGAGCCCTTTTAATATCATCAGTTACTTGTGTTACAGGGTAGAGAGAAACAGAAATCCCACCTTCCAGAAGCAAAATATTCACCTTCTGGACACCAAGACTGTTAACTATGCTCCTGTAGGGTTATCAGGTGTGAATGGGGCCGTGCTCCTGTAGGGCATCGGGTGTGAATGGGGTCATGCTCCTGTAGGGCATCAGGTATGAATGGGGCCATGCTCCTGTAGGGTATTGGGTGTGAATGGGGTCATGCTCCTGTAGGGCATCGGGTGTGAATGGGGCCATGCTCCCATAGGGCATCGGGTGTGAATGGGGGATAATGTGCTTTTCTATCCCTGTTTGAGATTCTGCTCAAAGTCCTGCCCACAGGCACCTCCCTGTCCCTGCATCCTCCTCTCCCTTCACTATAGGCCTGAACCCAAATCTGAAAATCCCAAATTCAAAACACCTTGAGCGGTGGCATGATTCGACGGGTGGAAAATTCCACACCTGACCTCATGGGACAGGCCGCAGGCAAAGCATGAACTCACAAAAGCTGATATGTAGGAAGCACCTGCCGGCATGCATAGAGGACATAGTGACGTTTAAGTGAATTTGGTGGTTAAACTTGGGTCCCAGCCCTCAAGGTCTCATTATGCATGAGCAAATATCCCCAAATCCAAAACAATCTGCAGTTCACCGCCCTCCTTCCTCAAGCATTTCTAAAAAGGGATGCTGGACCTGAGCCACCTCCAAGGGTCTCCATATCCCAGCCTTTCTCCCCTTCCTTTCTGCCCATCACAGTCGGATGGAGATCCACAGATCAAGACCTATGACCTCCCATTCTCTTGAGGTGGAAAGGAGTCCAGTGTGGTTGCATTCACTCAGTGATTAAATGTTCCGGGGTTTATCTTTTTGAACATACTAGAAGCAATCGAGACTTAGACCATAGCAGGCAAGTGGTACGTGCTCAGAAGAGAGGATGTGTGTGGTTGGATATGGTGAGAGTGAAGTGTGGGTTAAAGCATGGCCTCTGGGTGGCTCATGAAGCATCGCAGCCTCGGCTGTTGGCTGGGAGAGATGCAGACAGAGGTGCTCGCTAGGTTTGTCTCTCTCATCTTCCACAAATGTGGGATTTTTCATGATTAATTTTTAGAGAATAAAAATCTACAAGAAGGAGGAAGAGGAAGAGGGGAGAAAGGAAGGAAGGGAGGGAGGGAGGGAGGGAGGGAGGGAGGGAGGGAGGAGAGAAAACACACCCAAATAAGAAGTGTTTAGTCACTTTCAAGAGCACATGATATTCAAGAACACCCCTGGCTTTGAAAAGGTGAAGCATGCCCTCTGCCCAATGCCCTACGATTGGTCTCTGAGTCTCCTAGTCTTAACTGCCTCTCTCATCAGCCCACTATTTCTCCAGCATTGTCTTCAGCTCTGGTCTGAGCACCCACTCTCTGTCTTCATGTCTGGCTAAGGTAAAGAATACGGAAGCAGCTGCAGCTGGCTTATCAGCTCAAACATTCTGATACCAGTATCTGGTATATGTAGAATGTTTCTTTTTATCTCTCAATTCTGGGTGTTCCAACCCATTCCTCACTTAATGCTAGCAGTGGACTTCTCCACTGAGCACATCCTCAGCCCTCAAATGGACTGGTTGTCGCCATCACTGGTCTTTGGGGAGCTAGCCTTCAAGGAGTAAAGCTACGGGAACTGAGACCATGTCTCCAAACCTCAGTTTCATCCCCTGGAGATGACTGTTGGGCTGTGGTGGTAGACAGCACCATAGACTAGCTTAGGGCCTGCTTGCTGGTCCTCTGCTGGTCTGAAAGATCTTCCGACTTTCCTCCATAACCTCAAGAGTATGAACAGCCAGTTGAAACACACAGCTCTCCAAGGCATAGCAATAGGTCCTCTGGCTCTGCTTTCCTGAGGGACAGAAGTCCAGAACGCCTCTCTCCCTCACCCTTGGCTACTTCCCCCAGACAGAGCAGACAGATGTTAATCACAGCTGTCTTCCAGAGAAGTCTAGGAGAACGGAGCCAACCTGCAATGATTTGTTTCAAGGACTTGGAATGGGGTGGATGTCTTTGCTCACAAGGAAGCTGGAAGGAGAAGCTCACAGGTGGCAGCTAAGCCCGATAACCAAGCAGTGGCCCAGAGAGGGAGCCTAGAAAGCCACACTGCATGAGGTCTACGGGTGGTGTATGAGCAGGAGTCCGTGAGGGAAACTGGGCAGAGATAAAAGGGTCCAGCAGGAAGAAAGGTTCCCATTGACTCCCGGATGGTTTTGAGGCCTGTGTGAGCAGGATCCACAAAGCAACTGTTCTCAGGATGGTGCTGTACTCACAGGAAAGAGGAGAAGGACAATGAGAAGTTCAAGGGCACCAACCAGAGCTTTTCCCTTACGTTCTCTTAGACAAAGCCTTCCATTTTCCTGGTCTACATCGAGAAGCCATCACAATGTGTTAAATCCTTCCCATGGACAAAAACACATTTTTTGCTATTTTTAAAATGTAATGTTTGGCTAACCATGTAAAGCCATTGTGGATCAGGAATCCTTTGTAGCCCAAAGTTGAGTCCTGCTGGAGACGGTTAGTCAGGTAACATTAACCTCACGAAGGGTCTGATCAGCCAGTCAGACCTACTGTGTGGCTGATTCTGAGGCATGGCATGACCTTCCTGTGTGGCTGCCCTCTGGGTAGCCCCTCTGTATGTGAGACACAGCTCTGATACTACCATGAGATAGCTACCCTCAGTTCATTGGAGTATTTAACTAAATTCAGTGAGCTAGCAGATGCCAGTGTGCTTTCATCAAAACTAAGGAGTGTCCATCTCAGTACTGGTTACTGGGTCTTCGGTAGCCCATGGCTACTCAACAAGGGCTCACCTGAGCATCCACGCTAAACAAACTCAGGACCCAAAATAAGATCCTGTAGTACATACCACTTTAGTGAGCTTAACCATCCCTGGTACCCAGAGATGACAACCTCATAGCTGGCACCCTGTTAACTGTGTAGTCTCATGAGCTGGGAAGGAATAGAAATTTCCACTGATGGGTGTGTCCAGCATGGGCCACACTAAGCTCTAACCCCAGGACAAAGGCACAGATGGCAGTGCTGGTCCCAGCTTGCTGGACACAGCGTGTTCTTGCTCTTGTTGTTACTGACTAGGTCCTGATCTGTCCTGTGTCTCCCAGTTCTAGGCAAGATCAGGAGTGCCGTGGGAAGCGCCCAGCTGCTCATGTCCCAGAAGTTCCAGCAGTTTTACTGGCTTTGTCAGCAGAATATGGTAAGTGGCGTGGTGGCCCCATCCCACGAGGGCTGAGACGTACCTAGCTTGCCTTTTCACAGACTCCTCGTTACTTTTCAGTTGCTATGGCCAAGCAGCATGACCGAGGCAACTTACAGAGGAAAGATTCTTTACTCACGGTTTCAGAGGGTGTGATCATGTGGTGGGGAGCTTGGCGGCAGGTAGGCAGGCATGGTGCTAGCGCAGTAGCTGAGAACTTACATCTTCCTCCTCGAGCTAGAGGTGGAGAGAGCTAACTAGGAATTGCCTGGGCTTTTGAAACCTCAAAGTCTACCCCCAGTGACACAGCTCTGCCAACAAGGCCACACCTCCTAACCCCCCCCCCATTTCAAAATAATTCAACCAAGTGTAGACATATGACCCCTTGTGGGTGTTTTCATTCAGACCACCACACTCCTTGTTGGTTAAAGTGCCCCTAAGCAGGAAGATGGATGAGAGAGAACATATCCCAGCCGTAGACCCTCTTCCCTGACTCTGGAGACCCACAAATAATCCCTGATGATCCATACCTCAGCCTTAGGGACTCGCCTCAGGGGACTTACACCCTGGCCCTGGAGACACAGCCAGGGCTCAGAAACACACATCTCACCCAGACTTCAGTTCTGGAGACGCACACACCTGTCTCCAAGGACCAACATCCCATCCCCGTCTGGGACTCACACACCTATCCCTGGTTGTCTACATAGAGGCTCCAGCAACTCACCCTTAGGCCCGGGCTCCAGCTGGAAGCAGGAAGCAGGAAGCAGGGCATGCAGGTGAGAGAGAAGTCTGACTGTGCCTCCACTACTGGCTCAGCTCCCAGAAAACTCTCAGAAGCGGAGGCAGGAAATGGAATGCTGTGATGGCCAAGGTTGCAAGTAAAGGAAAGGATCTATGGGGGTGTTGAGCAAGACACACATCACATAGAGAGATTAAGAAGAGATCTTAGAAGTCACGTAAGCTGGGCGGTGGCAGCACAGGCCTTTAATCCCGGCACTCGGGAGGCAGAGGCAGGCGGATCTCTGTGAGTTCAAGGCCAGCCTGGTTTACAAGAGCTAGTTCCAGGACAGGCTCCAAAAAGTACAGAGAAACCCTGTTTCTAAAATCAAAAAAAAAAAAAAAAAATGAAGACATTTGGCCTTTGCATATCTTACAGTCAGGACAGAAATGAATGTGTCCTGGGCTAGATTTATGGATGCAATTGGCATAGATCCTGGGTCTTCCTGGAAAAGAGAGGAGAAACCAGTGTGTGTGTGTGTGTGTGTGTGTGTGTGTGTGTGTGTGTCCATACATACTAATCTTCATATATCAGCATATGCATGTACCCATGTATTGCACACACACACATTATTTGGTTATCATCTGACTAAATTACTCATATAATTCCATGAGAAACAGCTGAATCGTATGCATAGCTCTTTATGGGCAATTTTACACTCCAGATACTTAATACTGAACATTTTCCGTGAAGGCAGAAGGCTCTGCGGGGCTGTCATGGCAAAGGCGGCAGGTGTTCTGAGGGTGCGCGGCTTGCGGCTTGTTAGCTTACACGGAGACAGTGAACTCAGAGCCTGCTCCACTGCATTTGCAGGTGCAGCCCCCGGAGCTGCAGACCCAGGTCTTGCCTTGGGGCTGTTAAGGATAATGTTTTCTCTGACGTTTTCCAGCTAGCCCATTAAAGCGCATCATGAGGTTTAGACTTACAACATGTCACCTTTGGCATGAAGCTCTGGCGACATTTAAAGGGAACTTTGCCACCTTGGAAGACAAAGCTGGATTAAAAATGTCTGGCTATTATGTGTCGCAGTGCCTTCCTCTGCATACTATGTCTGCAAGATTGGTTTGATCGTAAGGAACACTGTGTGTCGGGTGGTCATTGTCAGGGTGGCCAGACAGCCTCTAGGGCTCCAAGGTACAGACCCTGCTGCGTCAGGATGAAACTTAGCCTTCCGCTTTGGAAATGTGCACCTCTTTGGCACAGCTTTGATACCTTTCAGGTTCAAAAACATCTGGCTGGCTCTTTCCTTTTCTTTTGGCTTCTCTTTGGGGTCTCTAAGACCCTTGGTTGGGGAATGGTGTCAGGGGACACAGGCAAAAGACCGAGCTTGTTTATTTGCCCTCAAAGTAGTGGTTCATAGTTGCTGGGGACGCTGCTAGTGGTAGACATTTTAGTTAGTTTACCAGTCGGTAAGTTTAAGAAAAAAACCCTAGGGGCTGGGCAGTGGTGGCTTGTGCCTTTAATTGCAGCACTCAGCAGGCAGAGGCAAGTGGATCTCTGTGAGTTCGAGGCCAGCATGGTCAACAAAGTGAGTTCCAGGACAGCCTCCAAAGTTACAGAGAAACACTGTCTCAGA